ACAATGAAAAAAGAACCTTAGCCCAAGGCCCCCAGCCAATAAACGCTAACACAGCAAATACCGGCTGTAAGTAAGATACAACATGGTGAAATTGTGAAATCAAGAGCAACAACTTTGAGAGCAAATAAATCAGCATTGTGATAAGTGACTATTTACCCAAAACAATAAATGCTTATCACAAATACGATTAGATGCACTCTGATCAGATCTGTCGTTATCTCAACCCTTCGTGCCCCACATTGGATGCCAAAAAGAACTGTCGTGGTTTAAACCCAGTCAGCCATGCAGTCTCTTTCTCACCTCCCCCCCCCCCCCCTTCTCCCTCCCACTCCCAGAGGGATGGGGAGTAGAATCGAAAGAATATAACTCCCACGGATTGAGATAAGAACAGTCCAGTAACTAAGGTAACACAAATCACTACTGCTACCGCCAATAATAATAATGATAAGGGAAGTAACAAGGGAAGAGAATACCACCGCTCACCACCCACCGACCGATACCCAGCCCGACCCAAGCAGAGATCTGGTCCTTCCGGGTAACTGCCCCCAGTTTCTATGCTGGGCATGATGTGCTGTGGTGTGGAGTACCTCTTTGGCTAGTTTGGATCAAGTGTCCTGTCTCTGCTTCCTCCCAGCTTCCCCTCCTCCCTGGCAGAGCGTAAGACTCAGAAAGTCCTTAGTCAGAGTAAACATTACTGAGCAGCAACTAAAAACATTGGTGTTATCAGTGTTGTTCCCAGGCTGAAAGTCAAAAGCACAGCACTGCACTAGCTACTAAGGAGAAAAATGACTGACACTGCTGAACCCAGGACAATGGCTCATAAATGTTAGAAGAAATAACAAACGTTGCGCGCGCCTAAGTTTCTCTGGAGCTCAGGTGAATCTCTGTGATTACAACGTTATTACTGGGATGTGTTTTCATTTATTGCAGTGTGATGGTTGTATTCATAGCCAGACCAGATTAAGAGGGGACAAAAGTCAATGCTATGTCATTTCCGTTTCTACACAATGCTCGGCATCTCCGTTGTCTCCGTGCAAGTTTGCAAAAGCTTACTTTATTTGTTAAACTTTGGTTCCAGCTGGAAGGTGTCTAGAAAAGCTCATTCCAGAAAGTGTCACAGTAGCAGTTAGGGTTAGTTACTGAATTCTTGAGTAAGCTGACAAAATTTTTAATGGACTTCAGATTGTCCTAAAAATGTTGTAGTTCAAAAAGACATCCTAAGAAGATCTGTTTCTTTGAAGTCCTACCTTAATTTTCTTCCTTAACTCTCCTTTTAGGATAGGAATCCTTGTTCTGCTTAATGAATCTCTTTTTTTGTTGTTTTTTTTTTGTTTGGTTGGTTGGTTTTTAGGTTTTAATTTCAAGATACTTGGACATTTTCAGAGGGAGATTGATGGACTTTAATGAACAATTTTTGTTCAAAGTTTGCTGCTTGGAACATTTTAGATTTCCAAGTAGTTACAATAATAATTCTAAAATATATGATGCACATATATTACTGATTCAGAAAGAATCAGAAATATAAAAGCATGGGCAAGGTTGCTAATGGATGATGTTTGACGTTCTATTCACTCTAAAAGAACAATCATAAAGAGATGGTATTTTGAAAAGCACCAAGACATCAAGCTTAAAGAGAAATTCTGGATCAGTAACTCAAGATAACTGCTGTCTCTGGCAGTCATATAAAGCTGTTTATGAGTTTATTAAACTATAAAGTAGATTAGTAGTTGATATAGAAAAGTACAAGATAAAATACATAAAAATTTATTTCATTGGATACATGTGAAAAATTGACTTTGTCTGACCGTGAGGGTTAATTGCTTGCAAAGGGGCCTGCAGTCGTCCAAATGATTTCATTTCTGATGCATCCCTTTAAAAACTATGTGGGGTTTTGTGTCACTATTAACACAAATGCAGTAATACTTCCACTTCAGACTGTTTCATGTGACTTTTCAGTGTTTAAAGTTGATTTAATTCACCTGTTTTATGTATGTGTGAGCCTCTCTGTTGCTGGACAGCAATGTGAGAGCATATGGATCTATTGTAGATACTCTGTTCTTGCACATAGCTGGCAGGTGATCTCTCAGAAGAGCTTGTGCAGAAGCCCTGACCCCTGTGAGCTCTCTGGGTATGATTTTCAAGGAGTACCTGACTGATGAAGGTCATTGGAAATCTCACTCATATTTACTATCCATACTTCCATTGCAATTATCTTCAAAGACAGATTGTCTTAGCAGTTTTTTTCATGCTGAAAGTGGGATGTCTCAGGGAGGCAAGTATCAGTAATGGTAGAAATGAAAAATACGTATTCAGCTTCTATCACAACCTAAACCAGGTCTGTCAGGCAGCTGATCAGTAGCTAGGATAGTGAACTGTGAATTTTGATGCCACAATTCTGTCCAGAAGAGTGAGCAGGGGTGCTCTAAATCTGCTGCTGTAGGATGAGCAGCAACCAGAAGGGTTTGTGCAAGGTGGTGATTCATTGGCATTTGAGGAGATGCAGTGGCTGGCTGCATCTGCAAGCGGAGGTGTTTCCTGCTGCCCTCCCTCCTCTCACGCTTCCCGCTTCTTTTCTCTCCTCTCTCTCCTCCATGGTTGTATGTTTTTAACCTTTTCCTGGGTCTGTTGCCCACTAGACCTTCCTGAGAGATGATCTAACTCATTAAACCAGCACAAAACCACAAGATTTTTTGCTAAAGTTATTTTCTGTCATTGTAATAAATTAAACTGGCTCGCAGAGAGGACCAAATTGTGCCAAACACAGAACCCAGATGTGCAGAAGGAACACATTGTGGGGACTGGAAATGAAAGCAGGAGAAAATGTGGAAAAAGCAGAATAGTAACTCACCATTTTGTGCAGTTTCAAGCTGCTGAATTTGTTCACCTTGTCTTGTGTCCTAAGATCAGAACCTAATCCTGAAGAACAGTAATTATTTGTTTGCCCACAGTTGTGTGCACACAGGCCGAAATGTCTGTGCTCTAGACAAGTCTGATTTATTACATATATACTACTAAAGCTCTGTGAATTTTGAATTAAAATAACATGAGCTCTTTTCTTCCAACTCAGTTCATTCAAAACTGAACTCTCACAGCCCTTTTTGTATAGTTTCTGCAGCATATGGATTCTAGTATCTAAGGCAGAATCCTTCTACAAGGTCCCCTGAGAGAGAATCATTTGCATTACAGTTAGCACAGCAGTAATCCTATCTGACATATTTCATAGAGACACATCCCGAGGCATTGTCATTAATCCTTGAAATGTGACAAATACATTAAAAGTAAAATAGGCAATTAAAATGCTTAAAAAAAAAAAAAAGTGAGATGTCATTAGCAAACAGAAACAAATCCAGAAACTCTCCAAGTCAGTTTCACAATTTAAAACCATAATGACAAGATGTTCTTTCTCTACTCAGTTGTCACTGGATCCTTGGCATTTGCAGCAGTCACAGAGCACAGGCTGTTTTTAATGCCTTAATACATAATGAAGACACAAGACTATTTAAAGCTTCGTAAACTATAGAGTAACCTTAGCATCAATCCTATAAAAGGCTGGAAGTCTACAGGGAAATATTGCTGATATAATTATATTCTGGCTGACCTTAGTGTGAAGTAGAATTTGGACAATACCATTTCATGCTGTCTCCAGACTAGGCAGGATATCATTAGCCCAGCAAGTGAAGCATTGCATTAATCATTCTTGTGCTAGAATTATCATTTGGTGCAAGACCAGAAATGCCTTGCCTTATGGCTAACGCTTTGTGTCTGTCAAACTGCTCCTCTTTTATCCCCCTAAACCATTGGTTTTAAGCCTGAAGGCAGTTTATTTCTAAGTAAAGCATAGAAATGTTTAGCAAAAAACTTAAAGTTGCTATGATAAAACACATTTTTAATGGCAAAATGGATAGTAAATTGTTGCTATTTTCACTAACAGTAAGGGAAAATGAGCCCTGTCTTTCCTATAAGCTACACTCTGTACCTCAGTACCATGCAGTCAGCTCTTTCTATCAGGCCTTTTCTTATAATTTATGTTATTGTAGAAGTGCATATCAGTCAGACTGGGTTTGTGCTAGGTGCTCCATAGTCTCTCATCACGAAATTGCAGTGTAAGTAGATTATCATAGAATCATAGAATAGTTAGGGTTGGAAAGGACCTTAAGATCATCTAGTTCCAACCCCCCTGCCATGGGCAGGGACACCTCACACTAAACCATATCACCCAAGGCCTCGTCCAACCTGGTTTTGAACACTGCCAGGGATGGAGAATTCACGACCTCCCTAGGCACCCTGTTCCAGTGCCTCACCATGCAACTGCACATAGTCTTAAGTGTCAAAATCACATGAAAGAGGGAAGCTATCTAATGGTCCAGAGTCTAAATGCTAAGTAGAAAAAAAGGTTACTATAAGTATCCTATGAAATGAAAGAAGAATGAACCATTCTGTTGTAGAGGAGACTGAATGAACATCCATACAGTGCAAACCAGTAAAGTGTCTTGGGACCTGTGGAATTGCAGTCCTAGGAGTGACACAACTCCAGCTCTAACCTCCCTCTGTTTTGCACCTTGTCAGTTCAGTCTCTTTGATTTTGTTACTGCTGAAGCCAGGTTCAATAAAAAAGCAAGATCCTGATTCAAATGGAAAAAGTGTTTGAGCTGAGGTGCCTGAAAATATGCACTAAAAGTACTGTTGTGCAGCATCTACTAAAGCAACATATTTGTCTTGCTGAAATGCTTCCTGCAAGAAGACATTCCATCTATATAAACTCATTGGAATATGATACCCAGTATTACCAATGATTTTACTACCTGTTAATGAAGGGCAGATCCCCGCCGTAATTTCTTCGCTAGCTGTATTTGTCCTCTTATGTTTATTTCTGTGTTTTGTTTGTAAGCAAATCACAGTATATATTTATCTTGAGAGTTATTATAGCTAATGAGGTACTTACAGAAAATGAAATTGCTATCTAAGCCATTAAAACAGCTAACTGCAGGATCAAGACAAAATATTTTTAGAGTTCCCGTATTCTGGGACAGGTATTAAAGGGCTTAACTCAGTTTTAATATTTCCTTCATAGCAAATGACCACGGACAATCTTACACAAACTGGTCCCATAAAATTTAAAAGGCATATGAGGATTTTGATCAAAGACAACAAATGTACAGAAATGATGAAAAGTGTATGAATTACATTAACAAAGAGATTCATAGTTACTTAACCTGAAAAGTCCCTAAAACAGGCTCTGGCTTAGCTAAGTTGCCTCTGGGGTTGCCAGCTTCTGAGGAGTGGACATAGGCATAGGCATCCCTCACATGGATGGAGTAATGTGATCCAACATCTGGGCATCTTCTTAAGGAAAGCAGACCATGCCAAAAGAGAGTAAGGTTAAACAGTCACCATGTAGTAATGCTGTGACATGAAGCATTTAGTTTCCTGAGGACTGTTAAACTGTACAAAATAGATGTAGTATCTGAGATGTAGTATATGAAGAGTTTTCAGAGGGGCGCTGCTTCTCCATGAGGGCTTCATCCAGGCTCCATTAGGATAAATTAATGTACATTTTCTCAACCGTGGCATTTTCTTGCTGTTGCTATAATGGACCAACTCTGGCAAGTGAAAAAAAAAAAAAATAGTCAAAAATAAGAGCGCATATCAGGGTGAGGAAAGAGAAAATGGAGTGCTTTTACACTTCAGGGGCATCCCCACATAAAGCCAGCTGTTGATGTGTCACTAGAACTAGGGGTTGTGTGTGATCTTAAGAAGTCTTTCACAGGCAGTACCATCAGGCAGAATTTGCCTAAACTTGCATTTGGACCCATAAGCTGATTTCACTGATACACAAAAATCAGAAACTGCAGAAGCGGAGACAGAGGACTGCATCAAAATCAAAATTAAAATGTAACAACATCAGCTTCATTCCTACTTCCTACTGAAGCTGAGGGCTCAGCTGTGGTGCAGAGTATGTGACCAGGACTGGCCTGGAAAAGAAACTGTGAGATGCAAGATAAAGGCAAGATTATTGTTCTTCCAGTAAGCACTTTTCAGAACTTTGTGCCAGCCCCAGTCAGTACACCAGGCCTTGATTTATATGTCTTAAAAACCCTAAGCAGCTCCCAAAGCAGGCTGTGTCCCTGGAGAGGACTAGAGGAGTTAAAAGTCCTTGGCAACATTCAGCCTTTTTAGGGAAACAAGAGCAGAAAAGCAAGGCAGAGTGCGAAGAGACATACAGTAGCAGACAGACTGACCGACTCCTTTGGCTGCTGAATTGGGTGGAAGTGCATTTTCCCTGGTAATTGCTGGATATCCAAGTATTTCATCTAACATGAAGGTAAGACAATTGCTTACTTAATTCATACTGATGAAGTGAATATGATATGTACAATGAAATATTAATTTATATGGAGAATTACTTAGCTGAATGCAGTTGGGTAGTATTCTGAGAAAGAAGAGAAATAAAAAAACAACAGCTTGCACAACAAAGCTGAAGAAAATAAGCATTACACTCTCCATTATTTCTTAAGCTGATGAGTGTAAAGATTGCAGAAAGTTAGAAGAGCTGCATGAGGAAAAAGCAGAAAGTAAGTTTGCTTTTACTCCTCTTTTTTTCAGGTGCTGGGAATTTTTCTGTTGCTGGAAGTTTCAGGCTTCTTTTCCACTTTTTCCAGGTGAATATTTCTTCAGTAAATTACATGCTAAAGACTAAGCATGTGTAATTTAACAGACATGCACTTCTGGTGCATGACATGGCTCTCAAATATATTTCCTGGGAGAAAAGACACTGCTTGGTGTCAGGACTGCCACTGCCATCAGTGGTGACAAGAGTGAGATGTTATGGTCTCCCTCAGCTCTTCCCAGAGGAGTCAGCCACCCATCAGGAAAAGAGCACACAGCAGTGGTATGAGCCACAGCAGTCTACATGTGTGAAACAGCACAGCTTGCCCCAAGCAGCCTGGATCCCAGGGGCAGGTTGCACCCTCAGTGCCTCCTGTTGGCAAACTTTTGGGAGCTGCTGTGGGAAGGTCTGCTGCATGCCACGGCACACACAGCCCCTGGCAGCTCCCTCCCATTCCCAGATGTGGTCTGTCTGCTCCCTGCTTTGCAGCATGAAGCTGGTCTTTGAAGCTTGTATTATGGTTGAACAAAGTCCTTACTGATCTTCAGGCAAGGTAAATGTGCCTACTTTCTTCTTTTCAGTGGCTGGAAAGCCCAAGCTGGGTCTGATTGCATTCATACACGTGAAAAGCAAATCCAAGTGGTTTTAGAGGGAGCCTGATCATATTGCTAATTGTTACTGCAGACCTGTGTTGCTGTTTAGGGATGTTTTGCACTAATGCTTAGGGATAGAAATCTCTGATAATATTTCTCTTTTTTTTTTTTTAATATAATTTGGAAAATACTCCTGGAGTAGCTCTTCCTCTCCAGTCCACTGCAGCTGGAATTCTTTTGGCCCTTGGTCTGAGTGCAATGGCTGTACTCAAAACCAGGTATAGATGGACACTTCTGTTCTGTATTCATGACTTCATAAGCATATGCTTTTTGCCAATAATTAAGGAGCCTTGTATCTTTAAAACTCCAAATCCGGTGTCAAGCAAAAGCCCCAGCAGATCAAGAAGGCTGAAGAACAAAAATCTCAGAAGGGAAATCCTCCAGTCTGTCCCAAATCTATTCCCTTTCAAAGCTACAATATTTATGTTGTAAAATAATTTGTGCACTTTTTATTTTGGTGATAGTTCCAAAAAGCTTGACTCAATTGTTCAGTTAACAGAGATATTCCTCCACTGATGCTGGTTTGTACCAATTCTGCTGATTTTTCATTAGTCGTGTCACATCTCAAGGAAAGAAGAGTTGGTTGCAGAGTATTATATTCAATGAAAACAAAATGATTCTTTTTACAGTGCAACTGTCTTCTTGTTCAAGATACTTGCTTTTGATTTTCTTTCTCATTTACTTTGATGTTGCATCAATTAGGGAGGAATTAATCAAAATTAGAGCTGTGCCATGAGACAGTACTTCCTCTTTTTAGAAGCAACAAATAGCCCACTTGTTTAGCATATTCCTTAATGACACTGTTTACTTTGAAGAACTTTGGCAAATTCATATCAGGCATGATTTGTCCTATTAAAAATGTAAAACAAAACTGAGATTTGTCAGCAGCTTTCTCTTGGTTTCAGTTACTTATCAGATTTTTTGAACAAAAAAGCCAAGCTTGTGCATCAGTCTAAAGACCTTGTAGATAAAATAGTTGTCATTTTATTAACTTGTTACCATATTGTGGTAATTGCAAATGTGGGTATTAGAAAAAACAGTGAATGTCTAATTTCCTTACAGCAGTAGAGTGGTAGCATTGTCTTGACACTAGCAGACTGTTCCTGCTTTTCATTTATGTTTCTGAGTTCTCCCTTGATTTGCATTCAGATTCGGAGACGGACAGTAGCAGTTTATGGCCAGTATGGGGGAAACCCCTGCTCTGGGGATGCTTTTGAAACAAGACCATGCACCACCACAGGGGGATGCCCAACAGAGGATGGCTGTGGTGATCGTTTCAGGTGTTACTCAGGTACTATCCAAGATCTTTTTCACCGTTTTCTGGACATAAAGTTAAGAAGATAACCTTGTTATCTTTGAACTTAGTAAATGGGCAATGGCTTTGCAGAACCCTTGACCTATATATAAATTCGATTTAGGAGGATATTTCCTTAATTCCATCCTCCACTATGCATGTTTTTTATTCATCTGGAGTGTTGCAGAGCTTTGCAGGTAATAGGCTGCAGCTCTGGTAGCCTCTGTAGTCATTCTGCCTTGTTTGACCCAGAGACCTTACAAGAAGGTAACTGAGGAATGCAACCTTAGATTTTATTGTTCAAAGCTAGGCTGTATACAAACGTCTTGGAAATCACCTGGGTCATGGAAACTGATGCTTCCTAGAATAGTCCTAGAATAGCAGCTTCCATTACCTTCACAGAAAAGTGCATTGTCTCAGTTGGTAGACACTTGTCAAAGAGGAGCATGGTAAACGTGTTTTGGTGCTACCAGAGAGATAATCATAATTAATCACAAGTGATGGGATCAAAGGATGAAAGCTCAGGAAATAAATCTAGAAGTCAACTGTTTTATTAATATATCATAAGCCCCAAATTGCTGTGGTTCCCTCAAGTGTACTCTAAACCATTTCTTTATGTCTACGTTTACTGTTGTTTCACAAGCCCTCCAGGGCACAGACTGTTCACCATGAGTGCGAGCAAGCTAATTAGTGTAGTAGCTAAGTGGGACTTTTGCTTTGATTTAGGTGATTTATTTTTAAATGAACAAACACTTCTTTCCCTTTGCATTTTTGTTCTGATTTAGGTCAGTGCATTAGCAGATCTCTTGTATGCAATGGAGATCAGGATTGTGAGGAGGATGGTGCAGATGAAGATCGATGTGAAGAGAAGAAGACTGTATGTGATATTGATAAAACCCCTCCGAATTCAGAACTTACAGGAACAGGGTAATGTTCTCTGCTAGAATCAGTAGTACTGGCGCCAAGTGCATTGACATTTTTGTAGTATTTACAAGCTCTGGCTGTACAAATAAGCTTCCTGGGCTTACGGTAAAATGTTCCATATGCAAAACTGTTCAGTACAATGGTTTCCATCATGCTAACGGCTCAGTGCAGCCAGAATGTGCAGACCCTTTGATCTGAAGCACAGAATAAAGCTTTTTATTTTTCACTCCTGCTATTGAAAAACATCTTTTAAGATATGAGATGAAATGTTAACCAATACCACATGATCATCAGCACAGAAAAAATGAACTAGCAATGCTCATTATTCTTCTTCCTTGCCTTTGCATTTAGTACTGTGGATCCATATGGATTTCTGTTTATACATCCCACTTACAACCTAGCAAAATAATTATCTTAAGTTTCTTTAGGGTAGTTGTGTCACTACAATATAAATTATTGTTATGCAATATAAATCAGGTATAATAAAAAAACTCATTTTGGAATGGAAGCCTTGTTGTTTATGTGTGGTGTTGCTTAATTAAACTTGATAAAAGCATTTGTGATACATATGAATGTCTTAAAGTTAAGAGATAGGTGCTCATTTCTGTTGACAAAAAAAGAGCAAAATTTTGCTTTCCATACTGTAACATGCTCTGCACATTGCGGTTCTGCAGGTATAGAAGTTGTTCGGTTGATATCCCCCTTTCTTTTGGGTAAATCAGCTTGTGATCTTTATCTGAAGATGCAGCATTCAGTTATGATGGCTTTGTAATTTTTGCTTCCTGTAAAATAATTTGCTACCTCTCTGTCTTACTGACTCTTCATATTTTTCTTCTCATAGTTTTGATGCCATTACTGGTGATACAAGGGGAAGAGTCATTCATACAAAAAGCTTTGCAGGACAGTGCAGAAAGGTCTTCAGTGGTGATAGGAGAGAATACTACAGGCTTAGTGAAAGTGTTCTTGCTTATACTTTTCAGGTATGTTTCCATTAAACACAGCTTTGTATTCAGAGTCATGCTTAAAACGAAGAGTGAAGCAAAGCTTGTAGGCTCTCTTGGTAGGCAGGTTTCCTAAATGCAGCTGAATGACACCTGTTTCTTTTCTGCAGTCACTTAATATTTTGAAATACAAACTGGTGTATATCTTGCTAAATTGAAAGGGAAAAAAAATGTTATTGGGTGGTATATATTGTTGGATGGGATTTCTGTATGTGCACAAGGCTTTGTGGAAATCTTCCAGAGAGATACTTTGAAGTCTCAGAGACTTGGGTCACTTCACATTCATCAAAAACATGCTAAGCAATCCTTAATGTACTTTATAACGTAAATACTTAGTATATGAATATATACATGTAATGCTTTTCCAATAGTGTTCACTACTTTTCATGAAATCTGAAATGGATTCAGCCTGGAAAACACATCGGATTTTTTGCATCAGGAAGGACTTGCTTTACCCTATAAATTATCATTTTTAACATCCTTCATGAAGCTCTATACAGAATTCTGTCTTTTATATTCTAGGTTAAAATTCAGAATGATTTCAGTTACAAGTTTTTCAACAGCAGCTGGTCTTACATGAAACACACAGAGAGGTATGAAAACTCAAACCATGGGCACAGTTATTCACAGAATAAAATTCTGCAGCACAGCCAAAAGGTATGTATATAGTATGTATATGTTGTCACCGTGGCTTAGTAATTTTCATAAATATTTTCATATTCTTTCATGTAATTATATAGTGAGATGCAAGTATTAATTTTATCCAGATATTTCTGGCACAAAGTGCATAACAATAAAAATCCCATAAAAATTTTTACAAAGAGATCACTGGTTTGGTTATCAACTAAGAAGTGTTGGCTGTGGTTTTTATTTTCTCCATTTTACCTATTAGCAATTTATTTACTTACTATCTGGTTTTGTCCCTATTTGAGGAAGAAAAATTTAATTAATCTTTTGCATTTTTGTTTAATGAGTTACTCCTTTTGTTTCCCTATTACTTCTATCAGCATCTGTGATTAAAGTGAATTTGTTATATAATTCATTTTCCACTAACAGAAACTCATTAAGATTTCTGTTTTAAACATCCTGAAGGTTACAGTGCTTATGCTTTTGACTTATCTAAAAAGGAGCATTAAATAAATAGAGAGTAACTCTCAATTGTGAAGTATAATCAAGTATAAATAAAAAATCAAGTAAGAAATTCATATATTTTATGTCCCCAAAGCTGACAGAAGAAAAGCTCATTTTACTGCACTAACAGTAATATATTTTGAGACTTACTCTAACAAAGTTCAAAAGCAACTTCGAGAAGCTCAGGTAAGGAATATGGGATAGGCAGATAAGAGTTTATAATTCAGCTAGAGCTGCTTTCAAAGGAAGGCTTCTTCAGACAAAACAGGGTACAAAGAAGACCTCTCTAACTGCCTATAATTTGCTTTCAGACAAGGCTTGTTAACCTGCTACTGCCAGGCTGCTGGTGTTGGACACCACCATTAGCTTTGACGAATGATACTTTGCTTTCTTGTCTGTCCCTATGCTAGCTTTCCAGCACATAGGAGAAAAATGAAGATGTTGCAGCAATTATAAACAAAGGTTCAAAAGATATTTTCTATTTTCAGAGTGGGGCTTTTTTTTTTTTTGCATTCACCAAGTTGCTTAGATATCTCTAACAGCTCTGTATAAGCTGTTGATTAGTGTCCAATATAATGTGCATGTCATCTGGATAGTAGGAACCACCCTGACAGTAACATGCGGCATGACTAACATCTTTTCCTTTCCCCAGAGTAAGCAGCTGATGGTTGTTGAGAACAGCGTGGAAGTTGCCCAGTTTATTAACAACCACCCAGAATTTCTTACTCTTGCGGAGTCCTTCTGGAGGGAACTGGCCAACCTTCCAGTCGTCTATGAGTACAATGCCTACCGAAGACTTATTGAACATTTTGGGACTCATTTCTTGCACTCTGGATCTCTAGGAGGATATTACAAAATTATTTTTTATATGGATACTGACAAAATGAAAGCAGAAGGTAGAGTACTAGAGTATTGGTTACAAGAATCTAAGCGAATATACAGGAATAAAAATTTATTTGCATGCTCTGCCAGCTAGTGTCTAAAATCAGGGAAGAGACATATGTTAGTCACCACATTATCTTCACAGGCAAAAGAAAGGAGATTAGAAAATGTGCTCAAACCACAGCATTCAGTTCTAGATCCACATCTGTGAACTGCTGTGATCAGAATAGCAAAGATTTGATAATTCATTCAGGACTTCCTCAGGCTAAATCTGAATTCTAGTGCCAGTCTAAATCTCAAATAATGCTACATCTTAAGAGCTACTTGGAGATGAAGGTTGGATAAAACTGTGTAAAGCAGAATAAATTACAAACAGAGCAAACACCAGAGTGACGGGTATGATGGTACTCAATGTGGAGCAGTGCTGTAGAATTAGGGACTGCTGAGAAATGACATAGAATAAAAAATAAGCATTTTCCAGATACACCTCCTATTTCTCTAGCAGGATGTGCAAGTTGGTTGCCTTCTAATTTAGGCATAATTTTTCATGACCTCTCAAGTCAGTGGGAAACTTAGAAATTAATCCAACACACTTTCTGTGTACAGTACTGTTTAAAGCATCAATTATCTGCAGGTATGACTATAACAGACATGTACGACTGCACCACATCAGGCTGGAATGCATTCATTGTGAAAAAGAAGAAAGTAAAGTGCTCCAAACTGGATGAACTGCTACAGACTTCTTCAGGTAAGTGTTCAACAGTGACTTGTGTAGTTATCATGTCTCCATCCTCCATCTCCTCCTAAGTAGCTGTCAAAATCTGAAGCAGGTGTTGATAGCTTTGTTGAACTGTTTTCCTTAACACACTCAACCCAGACATCAAGTGCATGGCTCTCCAGTTCTCATCAATCATTGCTAATACTTTCCCAGTAATTGGCACTTTCCAGGACACCCTAAGTCACAGCTGCCAAGATAGCTACAAAACCACATACTTACATATTATCAACGTAGGAGCTCTTGATCCAGGCACAGGTGGTTGATATGCACTAATGAGTACTTTCCCTACTTGCTAGCATAGTTTTTTGCATGCATTGTTTCTATTTCCATTTGTGAATATAGCAATGCTGGTATTTTTCTGTATTTTTCATCCTGAATCTACAGGAAGCAGTGGTAGTAAGATTAAAGGAGACCCCTACATAGAAGGAGGAAGCCCAGGTGCTGTTGCCAGCCTTAATTATCTAGAGCTTAATGATCCTGCTGGCAATAGTCAGAGATATTCGTTTTGGGCTGGATCAGTGACAGACTATCCCAGAGTAATTAAACAAAAGGTAAGGCTATTTTCCTGAAGAAAAGATGAGCAGTTGGGATCACCTCAAGGGGAGAAATGATTAAGCTATGGTTAATCAAGCTGTAGTCTGCAATCATGTTGTTTTCAGATCACTTCGTAAGAAAGAAAAGCTCATTGGAGGAACATTCCATGAGGTTAACATAATCAGCTGCATCACAAATCTAAGTCATTTAACAGATCAATCTTACCAGCCTTCTGTGACTACAGGGGAGTTCTGCTTAAGAACTGAGGGTCACGATAGCATTGGAGAAAGCGCAGATTTGAGATAGCCCATTTCCTGAAATACATATGGCCACTTCAGTGTGGCTCCACTCAGCTTGCTAACTTCTTTGTACCACTTTTATCCCTCCTCCTTCTCTCATCATCCAGAAGTTCAGCATAATGAGATTCCGGAAGCCAGACACTTCAAAGTTGGGCATGGCCGTAATCACTGCTGCCTTGTCTATGTCTCTTTTGGGAACTGACCATGTACTGAAGAATAGTATAAACCCAAAAGATTTCTGACAGGAAGTTTTCAATTAAATGTAAAAGCACAGAATATCATAAAATAGGCAAGAGAAATGCAAAATGTTTTCACTTATTGTTACCTTCAGTCACTGCTCAATGAAATACCATAAGGGATTGCTTAAGCATCCAGCTTCTTGGGCTAGGAACAGCTGGGTAAGAATTCAAGTTACTGTGCACTGATGGTCTGTGTTACACTTTTATCTCAACCATAATATCGTAGCTCAAATATGTTTAAACATGATTAATCCAGTGCTAGCTTTAAGGGATGCTATTAAACATGACTGACTTTTCAGAAAAAGGCTGGTATGAAATACTAACAGAAGGTTTTAGCAAACTAGATAGCAAATTAGAGCATCTTTCAACCACTATGGGCAGCAGCATACGTCACAAATTATTTTGCACGATGAAATGTGCTCATAAACTGTTATTATTCAGATTATCACTATTTAATATAAATATTTCTCTACTGTGTATAGCTAACACCATTATATGAGCTGGTAAAGGAAGTGCCCTGCTCCTCAGTCAAAAAGCATTACTTAAAACAAGCCATTGAAGAATATATGGCTGAAAATGATCCCTGCAAATGTCAGCCTTGCCAGAATGGTGGTGAGGCAGCCATGGAAGGAACTCAGTGCATGTGTTACTGCAAGCCTTACACCTTTGGAGCAGCTTGTGAGCTGGGAAGACTCGTGCAAGATCAGCCAGGTTAGCGCTCTTTAAACCTGTGAGAGTTTAGAAGTGGCAAAATATGCTCTCCGACTTTGGAGGTCTGTTTGTCTCACTGCACAAACTGAATGAGTGGCTGCTGGGCAGTGTCTGCTTGGGCCAGATATCACTGCAGACATACAGCATAGGTAGAGAGTGTCATGCTAAGCCTGAGTCTTAGCCTGTCCAAACAGTACTTAACAAAGAACTGGTTTTATTATTGTTAAATGCAGTGGACAATACTAACTGCTCAAAATGTAACTTTCTAGAAATAAGTATGTATACTAAATGAGTATTAGCAACTTCAAAATTTTTTGCTTTTAAACTTTGTAATTAATTGCAGCTAATAAATATTTTTATTTTCCCTAAGGCTCTGATAACGAATAGCGTCTGTAGAATTATACTTACATAAAATGCAAGCTGGAGAAAGGTGCGAGATTAGATCATTGCAACCTGGAATTCTCTGTAAGGGCCCAGTTTGGACCATCACTAGCTTTGAATAGCCTGTGCCTTGAAATCACCTACAGAGAGGATTAATGTGAAATATTCCCAAATGTTGCATAGGTGTTGTTGATGGACGCTGGAGCTGCTGGTCTTCCTGGAGTCCTTGTTCAGGGGGGAGGAAATCAAGGAGTCGGAGCTGCAACAATCCATCCCCCCATGGCAATGGGAAGGCCTGCATAGGAGAGCAGCATGAAAGCAGATCATGTGAAGATGAGGAGTTGCAGCATTTTCGGTAAGCAGAAAAACAAAACCATTTGGAACACAGCTGCAGGAAGGTTTAAAAATCTATTTCAGGAGGGTGCATAAGCAATTGAGCTCAGGATGGAGATCACTTACTGAGCTTTTTTATTTAAGTTGAAACAAAATGAAATTCAGCAGCTGTGAATCTGATACAAGGTAAGAGAAGAAAATTGAGTAAAAGCTGGTAAAGTTGACTCCATTCTATTTGGCATTCTCTCAGATAACCTGGCAGTTCCCAGTTTAAGTATACTTGTGATGTAAATGCAATGCATAATAGTCTTGGGCTTCAATGAAAAGTGTAGAATTTTGCAAGGAAGGGAGACTGAATTCAAACTAAATTGTACTTTTGTTTGATTCATAGCTTGATTGAACCACACTGTTTTGATTTATCCATAACTCCCACAGAGTTCTGTTCACCTCCTCCTCTCTTGGAAAATGGATTTGTTCAAGTAAGTTATTTCTATTACTCTGTTATCTGTTCTATCCCTACTTGCAGTGTCTCTGTTAAAGTTCATGCAGATTTTCACTTGTAAATTTGTATTTATCTTGGTAGGTTTAGTATCAGAGCTATTGTATAGCAGCTCCCTCAGCATTTCTCCCTGGCTGAAGTTTACATAACATTGGCCAAGACTTCCCACTAAAAATAAAAGAAAAACAAGAAAGTGAGATTTAAAGTAAGAAAAGATTCACATCTTCAAGTCCAGCTCTTTTGAGTGACTGTATCACATTAACCTTTAGGAAGCTGATAATGTGTCATCCTAAGAATTAGCAAAGGCATATACTCTCCCCTGGAAGACTGTTCGAGAGCTTATGTTAACCCGCTAATGCTTCGCAACAGCCATATTTGCAGTCAATTCATAAAATGGCAGGATAGCACTGTTCCATCACTGATGTACCACTGCCAGACCCCTGTCACAGGGTACCTTCAACTCTAACCCTCCCTTTGCTAAGGGAGATAGCCCAAATACACTGTATTCTACCAACCACCAGCATCATCTCCATTTTTACTACATTTGCTGGGTATTGATAACCAGAATTGCCCACAGTATTCTAGACACTCCTACCAGTGCATTGCAGAATGGCATTAATACTTCTTGCTGTCTTCAGCCACTGCATTCCAGAATCTAAGGAAGTTCAACACTGCTGGTGGTTTTTAGATAGTGTATCCAAAATTTCACCTGTTCTTTTTCTTTCAGAATGCTGAAAACTTATACCCTGCTGGGAAAAGCATTGTTTATGCTTGCAGGCATGGATATTCTCTTGTTGGTGACCCTGTTGCTAAGTGTGGCAGTAATTTACAGTGGCAAGTTGGAGACAGATATTGCCAGGGTATGTTTAACTATTTTTTGATTTGAAATACAACTCCATTCCTGAATTCCAGTGAAACATCTCTGAACATCTGCTTTCCAACAATAATGGGGGAAAAAATACGCATCTGCATTTCCCAGTTCTCTAGACAAAATCAGGTCTCAATTGATTTATTTTAAATTCAGATGTCATAATACTGAAATAGAAACATGCCAGAAAGTCTCGTTTTAAGGAAGGCTGAAAGTGAGGGAGACTAAATTTCAGTCTAGGAATTACTTCCTGTGGAAACAAACTTGTTACTTAATTCAGTCCTGTGGCTATATCCAAGATCCGTGGAAATGAGTCTATATCTAAAGCCACCTGAGGAAAAGGTCAGGAGGCAGCACTGGGCAACCACAAAGTTCTCAAATAACCACCTTGTCATAAGAACACAACTCCAAGGATCACTTTATATCTTGGATGATCTCCCAACTTCACTCTTCTCCTCTAACCTGGTCAGTAACCATTAGGTTTTCTTTTTTCCCTGCACATTTTATTTGTGAGTCAACTTTGAGTGTGATCATATAGACCTGGGAATTTTCAGACCTGCAGTTCAACACCATTCTTTCCTCCTTCCAATCAGGACTGACTGCCTATAAATGCTAGTCCACACTGTTTAAATGCCACCATTTTGCATATCAGTATACAGTTTCCCAGAGACCTGTATGTATGACATCTGTCTACTAGGGCGTTACTTTCTAGTATGAACACTCAACAGAAGCATGGGTCCTAAGGACAGAGAAACACTCCTCAAGCCATGGCTGAACCTGCAGGCAGTAGGAGATGTTGTCACTCTGTCCCTTGTGTTGCACCTTTGCCTGCTATGATGAATTAGTATCCTGTGCTAACATGATTGATATGTTTCTACAGGAAAATCAGCTAATCTTACAATTCAATTTGTTAAGAAATTTAGGAGAACATAAATGATGTGACTGCTTTCTGCAATGCACTGATTTCACTGTGGCTATCTCAAATCCTTCAATCGTTAGAAACTGCTTGTCTTCCTCCCGTCCTTGAGGGGGGCTTGCAAGGAGAGCTATGGAAACCTGCGTATGAGATCGGTGAGAGAATAACTCTGTCTTGTCCACATGGAATGCACTTAGAAGGGGCACACTCCATTTTGTGCGAGCCCAGTCTCAAGTGGTCTCCTTCCTTGAAGACTATCCAGTGCAAGAGACCAGGTAAGACATTGCTGTCCTTCAAGTGCAGTGCAGGAGTTTCTTTCCTGGACAGACTGTGTCTTATGTAGATAAGATATAGACAGAGCTATAGCTGATATAGTGATAGAGAAGCATACTTCTATCACCAGCTGGAAGCACAGAAAATGTGGGTGGGTGTTTTCTGTGGGCTGTTCAAAAAAGATGCCATAAGACATTTCTTGTGAGGTTTCCTTACAGCTTTTTGCTTCCCACTCCCCTGTTGCTATTAAGTATTGTCTCTGAAAGTATTTTGAGAGATTGCCTGGGATGTATGCTGCCTATTCTGCTTTCCAAGTATATTTTACCCTCCACCTATGTTGTTTAACACCGCTAACATGTAAGCTGCACCTTAGAGATAAGGGTTTTCTACATGGAGGGTGATCTGTGCGTCACAGCATTTCATGGCAGGTAAGGACAGGGCTGGATGACTCCTATTGCTTATATGACATTCACACAGCTGATACAGAGTAAATCTCCAGGAACATCCTTGTCTCTAAATTGGAGAGACATCAATTTGATGGATGAACCACATGGTGGATAAAGAACTGGATGGATGGCTGCACTCAAAAAGTTGTGGTCAACAGCTCAATGTCCAGCTGGAGACCAGTAACGAGTGGTGTCCCTCAGGAATCAGTGTTGGGACCGGTCTTGTTCTAGATATTTGTCAGGGACATGGACAGTGGGATTGAGTGCGCCCTCAGCAAGTTTGCCGATGACACCAAGCTGTGTGGTTCGGTTGATACGCTGGAGGGAAGGAATGCCATCCAGAGGGACCTTGACATGCTTGTGAGGTGGGCTCATGCCCACTTAGGAAGTTTAACCATGCTAAGTGCAAGGTCCTACACCTGGGTCATAGAAATCCCAGGCACAGCTACAGGTTGGGCAGAGAAGAGATTCAGAGCAGCCCTGTGGAGAAAGACTTGGGGGTGTTGGTCGAAGAGAAACTTTACATGAGCCGGCCGTGTACGCTCGCAGCCCAGAAAGCCAACCGTATCCTGGGCTGCATCAAAAGGAGCGTGACCAGCAGGTCGAAGGAGGTGATCCTGCTCCTCTACTCCGCTCTTGTGAGACCTCACCTGGAGTATTGTGTGCAGTTCTGGTGTCCTCAGCATAAAAAGGACATGGAACTGTTGGAACAAGTCCAGAGGAGGGCCACGAGGATGATCAGTGGGCTCGAGCACCTCCCCTATGAAGACAGGCTGAGAAAGTTGGGGCTGTTCAGCCTGGAGAAGCCTGTGTGGAGACCTCATAGCAGCCTTCCAGTATCTGAAGGGGGCCTGTAATGAACCGGGGAGGGAGTCTTCATTAGGGACTGTAGTGATAGGACAAGGGGTAACGGGTTAAAAAAAAATAGGGGAAGTTTAGATTGGATATAAGGAGGAAGTTCATTACTGTAAGGGTGGTGACGCACTGGAATGGGTTGCCCAAGGAAGTTGTGAATGCTCCATCCCTGGCTTTGTTCAAGGCCAGGTTGGACAGAGCCTTGGGTGGCATGGTTTAGTGTGAGGTGTCCCTGCTCATGGCAAGGGGATTGGAACTAGATGATCTTAATGTCCTTTCCTTCCCTTACGATTCTACATTTCTAACTGGAAGCAAAGGGAAAATACTGCTTCAAATTCATGGTAACAGCTGTTTAAGACCTGGGTTGATACCGGCAAGCACTGGCAGAGAGGTAAGTGGACTATGTGACATACAGCAGCTCAAATCACCTTTTCCAGCTGTCAAAGGCAGACAAGGCTTTCTCTAGAGTACTCCTATGATGCTGATCAGTAATATACAGGCATCCAAGCAGCTTGCTGTTTCAAACTAATCACATCTTCACCCAAGGTCTCAGATTTTCTCAAACCTCTGGGGAGACCCTTGCTTGTGGAAAACACACACTGCTGTAGAAGACTAGGCATGTGTCCTACATTTCATGTCCATCTTCTTAACAGGCAACTGCTGCCTGGGGTTATCTCACCTAAGGTAAGAGGCAGGTGACAGTCAGGCTTAGACCTCAAAAGGTAGCGACCCTGTGAGATTTCCAGTGGAAGTCATCTGCCTCTGTGTCGTATCCACATGAAGTATAAAGGATTTCATAAGAAATATCTGTACAGCTCACTGCTGCTGAAGTGTTAAAGTACGAGCAGGGAAGTACTGTTGCCAATTACTTCTTAGGCTTAGCCTTAGTGAGTGATTTTTCATAATTTTTTTTGTTACGTCCTGTATTCAAATTCCAGTTATTAATTAAAAACAATTTCCAATGCTTCCATCTTTAGAAACA